GCAATGCTTTTAAGATATAAAGAGAAATACTAAGTCTGTTGGATGATTCCCATATACAGTAACTCATTGGATCATGCATCACTGGTTCTCACTACCTCTCCACAACCTTCTTGTGTGACTTGGGCTTCCTTTGGTGGTGTTTTTAAGCAATTTTTTCTATCAAGTCGGATGGATATTGGTTTAATACATGACAACCCCCATTCATAATGCTGAATTTTCTTTCACTTTCTCTGTACCATTGGGTCTTCTTTCTCATTTAGTCCCTGTCCCAGTGACTCACTGTTACTGCTGCAGTCCCTGGGATGCAAGACAACTTTCCTCTATTTTTTTTTCATCAGTTTATCATCTCCCTTCACAACTTGAATGAAGATACTGTTTCTCATGTTTTCTTACCACTTTTGCTGTGGCTTTTTTTCTTTGCTGTTCTATTACAAAACAGAGGAAAACATAGTGGAATACATTTCTATGGCGAGTGCAGTATTTTACAATAATGCCAGCCTCTGTTGCCAAAACTGTATTACAGGTGACTTTCTGTCCTGTTTTGCACACTATAGCTCCCAGTCTTGAGACTTCAGATAGATACATTTCAGTGATTCAAGTATGATCAGAGGAAATATCTGCCCTTACATAGCTGGATGTTTGTCAAAACTATTAAGAGGATTATGAAAATTAAAATGTAAACCAACATATTTTAATTCCCCAAAAAGACTGAAATGCTGTGCAATCAAAAGACAAAAAAACATTTAAAATACAAAACTGCTGATTTGATGATATTTAGAAATCATATGGAATATCCAGTGTATGAGATTTTCATGTGGTTTGTCAGTGTCCAACCCTGGCTATCACTAACACTTACCTGGAAAATTAGTCTTCTCTCATTGACACCACTGTAAAGGAGTAACTCCTTTTTAGTCATGGCATCAGATTACTTATATTTTCCCATTGGTATAACTGCAAATATAGTCCAAAACTATATACACAAACCAACCTTTGTAGGTGTAATCTGTTGAAAGAGTAAGGTTATATTTCTCTTATGGCTTGCCCTTTTCCCAAACTCCACACTCTCTTGAATAGCTGTACTGGAAATGAACACAAATCCTATTAAAAAGAAGAGTAACCACATAGCGTAATTTAAACAAGAGCCAATGTAAGTAACTCTAGTGTTCATGCATGCAAAAACCAGTGTTCTGGAGCATGCAGCCCTTGAAGAACAGGACCGTAACTGTGTTGAAAGATTACTCTGCCTGCCTGTTACCATATTAAAGAACCTTCCCAAAATTAGCACGTCTCTTGTGTCACAAGTTAAAAATATTTTCAATATTATACTTAGGTGACTGAGTTTTAATAGAATATTTATTTTGTGGAAAATAAATGTAGTTCTTACCATGACTTTGTTTTTAATATGAACAATCCACCCCTGTGTGTTGTATTGATCCGTGTCAAAATATGACATTGCTGTTTCTTAAGTAATTTTACAAATTAGACCTAATGGAGGAGCCAAAGTTCACCTATACTCTTAGAATAAGTGTCAGCTGCAAAAATGGTGTAGCTGTAAGAAAAATAAAATCATAATTTATCCAATAAATCACAAAACAGGAAAGGAACATTGCATATTCGAAATCATTTCATATAATACTAAAATATGTGTGACTTGGAGAAGACAACCGAAACTTTAGTTGATGGCTGCTGTAAAATAGAGTGAAATCATTTATTCAGTATATTTAGAATAAATTCAACAGCAGTACCATAAAACTTATAAGACTCAGTGTTGTCTTCTGATTCCCCGGAAGACATCATTGTGTATCCTAAAAACCAAATCAGACCAACAAGGCTAACAAGGTATTGAGTGGGCCTAATTTTAATTTTTAATTTAATTGTTCATGTGGAAGTCAAAGGACTCGTGTTCACGCAAGTTAAGAGTATGGCCCAGCACATTTTTGCAGTTCATTTGTTGGCATCATTAAAAACAGGTGTATTTCCAGAGTAATTCAAGGGAACCAGTTTTAGTATTAAAATTGCTACACAAACTACGTAGCATTATCTGATTTTTTATTTTTAAATTGTACACCCTTTATGCATAAGCTTATGCTGTACTAACATCAGTAGAGATACTCACAGGAGTAGGATTTTGAAGGTCAATTCTATGGGTTCAGTCTTGAAGAAGGCACCTTCTTCACCCTGCAAAACAGGTGCTGAGGAGAATAAATTTCCTCTTTACTTCCCTTTACATTCACCTTGAGAGGGAAGAAACAATGCATTGTAAGCAAAATTTTCAGTTGGGACTAAAAAGAAATCTTTTTCTTATTTTCAGTTAAAATAACCCACCCAAAAAAGAACCTAAGGAAAGCACATCTATAATTCATCAGAAATAATGCTGACTGTGAAATACTAAGTCATTTTCATGCAGTTTGCACAGATATAAATGTGAAGAAAAGGAGAAAAAATAGGAGTGTTACATATTTGACTTGACACACTATATAATATCCATATATATACACACACAGAGTTTTGCAACAACCCTTTCATCTAATCTTTGAAGAACTGAGATTTGTCATTTACCTTATCCTTAATGGAGGGGGAATACTCTCTAGAGTCCAAAGATTCATAAAAGAGAGGTCTTATTCTGTAGCAGGATGACCATCTGCTGCTTGCCCATACTCCCTTCAGCAATCTGAGGCCTCTAGACTCATGCACCTTGTGTTATATCCATGCAAGAAAACAGGATGAGTGTGACCTGATGCTCAAGACTGCTTTTATTTATAGTATTCTGAACTAATGGAAGACTAGCACCGAAACTGGGAAAAGGTTGGTCACTGCTCCTTTGATCCCCTCTTCTGCAGTGATCTTACACAGAGCTGTCCAGGGGCATGCAAGGGGAAAAGCTGTTACAAAGCCATATTTCTCCCCATGTGTGTTTGCTAAGCGGGAAACACCACATACCATTCAGAGCATGGGCAACACATATTCACATTTTGGAACAGTGGCGATTTTTAAAGGTATGATATTGCTTGGTGCTATAAATTTCTTATCTGTGCCTTATAAAAAAAAACTGAAAAGTGGCTTGATATTCCAATTGCTAATGGATGCATGAGGAGGAACTTAATGAAGCATTTTAGTCCTCTTTTCCTCTCTGTAGGTTCTCTGCTGTTGAATACAGGGTGAGGGTGTTAGTCTTTCTTTCAGCGTGGTACCCAGCAGTTAGTTACTTTCCTTTATCTGGATACCCATTCACACAAGGCATACATAAAGTTAGTATCTTGGACGGATGAACTCCCTTCTGAAATAAGCTGACAGTGACTAGTGGATTCAGAAGTCATTGAAGGAAGAGGGATACACACAGATATGCAGGCACACACCAAATATCATTGCACTGTTGTAACAACCTCTTTACATGCTGAAAAGGCGCAGGAAAAGGCAAACACTGAAGTATTTCTATATTTCCTTTCATTTTTAAATCATGAAAGAAAGGAAAATGCTACCAACCTTAGGAAGATTTTATACTCACTTTACACTAGAGCTATATGGCAACAGGGCAGTTATTGAACCCAACATAGGCTTTTAAAGATCACTCCCTTTCTTTACCTAGAAATTTTATGTAACACACAGGTTTCTAGTTTACTAGAGCTGGAACGATCATAGTTAATATTAAATCATTTTTTCTTGAACTTTGTATCATTTTATTAGTGAGGTTATAGGTAGCAATCACATTTTATTAGGGCATTCACTGATTCTGAAAGTTACGTGCCTTTACTTTTAAAACTGCACTGGCTGTTAGGAGCAGCTTTTTGATAGCAACCTTGCACAGGAGGTTTCCCACTATTAGCAGTAACCCATCTGGACAGTCCAAATCCTTCTCTACCTATGTAATGATTTAGAAACCGCATATGCATTCAGGAGTAAAAATTAGCCTCTGGCGCGCACTACTTCTTATAAAACTTTTATTTGGGGCTATTTGCTTCACTATAGCATAAAAAAATGGAGTAACAACTCAAGCTATATGTCTGCAATGACTTTTGAGTGATCTCCTAACTACATTTGAAAGAAAGTTCAACCATCCCTTGAACCTGTATGCTTCAGGCTGAACAATTCAGACAGATGTTTAATCACTTCACATTCACTAGGAAATGGCTATTCAAATGGTCGTAGAATTTAAAAGTGGCACTATGAGATGAATGCTTGGTGTTATTTCTATATTGGCATTCCCTTTTAGAAGCATAAGTAAAAGTAAGTCAGCTGAATCCAACACAGTTTTATCACACAAGTTTCCATTATCATTTTGGGTTTTTTTTTTAAATCATTAGATACCCTTTTAAATTTTTAGTCCAGAAAATCCCAAAGCTATAGTGTGAGTAGATGCAAATGAAAATAGATGAAAAAGGATTCACTAGCTTCTCAGAAAGGGAGGTGTAGACTGGTCTAAAGGTGAGTGCATTGTTTAACTGAATCTGCAGCAATAATTATAAGGAAAATATTTAACTTAGAGCAACACAAAAACCCTGTGACCCTGAAACTTTTCACAGGTAATTCATCAAGTGTCAGGCTGAAAATACCTCTTCAGAAGAAAAATTGTAGTAAATCTGTAGTTGTTGGTTACAGTATGCTAAATACTGTGAAACGCTTTCCTAAAAGAAAGACACAGTTTTGATAAGATTAAGGTGCATTTCAGCAAAGCATACACATTATTCTTCATTTTACTGTTTGGCAATTTCAATGTTCTTCTTCAGAGAAAACAAAAGTTTATAATGATTAACATTCTGTGCCGTGGGAAGCATACAGTCTACAACAATACTACTCTTGTGTTGCACTAGCCTTTCTCATCTATAATATAAGCACAAATAGTTTTTCAGATGAGTAACCAGCATTTCTGAGATAAGTCCTTCCTTTAACTACAATTGATAATGCATGACTGTGTATTTCAGTGTTGACAGAGGCCTCAGCGAGCCTGACAAACTTCCACTGAGTCCTATACCAAAAGCTCAGGACCCAGCTGAGTGGGACTCTAGAGTTTAGCAGGTAAATGTGATATTTCCATCCCCAGTCCCAGACCATGGTTTTGTCCTGCCAAGATATAGTGTGTCACTGCAGTACCCAGGATTATACCTTTACACTTCAAATTGAGAGCTTCCTCCCCTCCTGGAAATATCCTATGTGGCTTGCATTATACTGATAAGATAAATGATGCAAACTAAGAATTGCATCTAAATGTATTCTTATGCATGCCTGTTTTCTAATCCTTGTTAGCAGAGAACTCGGAAAAGTGATTTAAACTCATATAATTCCAGCTGACAGTGGAGGAATTTGGGCATGCAGCCAGGGAATTCTGTGTTCAAACCTGTGTTCAGATATTTAACAGTATGAAGTTCCCTGTGCAGATAAGCAATACCACGTGAATCTTTCATGGTGAACACAAAGAAGTGTCACAGTTCTACCAGGCTCCAGGGTCCTATTAAACCCCTGGGAAAAAAAGGTCAATGGACTCAGTGGAGGGGGCACATCTTTGTCCCTTTCTTTTCACAAATCTGATTTATTAAAAGTTTTAAATGGGGAACACTATTTTGTAGTGAAATTGAAGAGTAAGCTAATATAGGGAGCACAGTGACCCTTCTGGGCTTGGTGCATAGACTCTCGTACTGCACTGTGACCCACCTTCATCCATTCCTGTTCCAAGACACATGAACTCCTCCTGACCCAGCCATACAGCAGTTCTGCTCTGGTGCTTTACTAAGAAGAGCTGGGATGGCCTGTGGCTGGGACAAGAAGTGCTGCAGCAAATAGGCTGTGCAAGTAGTGACTCCTTCCTGAGTGGGGAAGAGAGAGAAAGCATACTAAAGGTTTCTTTCACAGTGGTCAAAGTACTGAAATATCATCAAATAATACTGACGCTGTGCACATTTCTACCATGAGGTTACTGAAGATGTTTTCACGTCAACACAGGAAGGGCAAAATCTTAAAACCTTATCAGAATATAGTGCATTACATCCTGCCATTTGCCTGTACATAAAACACCTGTCTGTGGATATTGCATGGGAAAAGTGACTGCACAGTGTCTCCTTCACCATCTTGATCTGTTTAGCTGTCAGCACTCCTGATGCTGGAAGACCCTTTCTGCATCATGAGCTATGTTCTTACATTAGTTTATTCTGGCTAGGCTGGTAGTAGGCAGCACAGTGGGGTGGTGCTGGGTGATTGTGTCAATGACCATTTGTCTTTCAGATTATGACTTGGGAAATATACCACAAGTAGTCCCAACAAGCACGAGATACAAGGTTATGGAAAACACCAAATTCTGACATGCTTACTTTGTCCTTGCCGTAAGCATATGTAAATAGGATGATGGTACAGGAAATAGGATTTACCTACTGCCATGTATTAATGCTATCAGAAAGCTATCCCTTGCTCCATCTTTGTACCCATACTGTTTGAGAAAGTAGACAATGCACATGTGCACTTTCACCTCTGGGATTTCTCCTGCCTGTGCTAGTGACAATTGCTATCCTCTGCTCTAAACACAAAGTGCTTGTTCCTTCTTTGTGCCAGCAGCATTGCTTACTGTCACACAAACCGTTTAAGTCTGCATCTCATCCAATCTCATCATCCTCATGTTCAAGATTTTTACCTGACATTCAACTTCCCTTATGTCTTCTCTCACTGCACTGCCTCCCTGTTCCCTTCTTTCAAAGCCTCCTCCTAAGCACTCTGTTTCCCTTGTCACTTAGCAGCAGTTCTACAAGTGTGATGTTTTACTCTTCATACTCATAACATTATTACTCTTCCATGCCACCCTGCATGCTAGAAATGATCTCTTATTTCTTTTGAGTCACACACCCTCCCTCCGTATCTTTCCTTAAAAGACATTTCTTCAGCAACAGTTTCCAGTTATGCTATCCCCAGTGGTATGTCTTCATCTGAATGCCACTGGCCAGAGAGAACCTAAATTTAACCATCTAGGCACAGTATTCAGTCATGCTTTTCCTTGAGGCTAGGTAGCTGTCAAATCGGTATCTCATTTGACAATTTGCTTAGGTAAGAACTGGGTTACACTATCTTTATGTCAACTTTCTGTTATGGCACCGAGCAGCTGCAACTTCGGGTAATATTCTTGAAGCAACTGGCTGTTGACTGTATGATGGCTAACATTTAGTTACAAGCATTCCCTATAGTTGAGACAAAGGGCGCTTTTTTCTTGTTGTTAAAGCATTGATAATACTGGTAAAGACCTCCGCAAACTGAAAAACCTCAAAGTTTAGCCAATAGTTCAAGTTTATGAGCTTGTTCTAATTGAATGTATACCACAGTTGAAAATTATATTGATTATAGCTAAGACCCAGGCTAGAGCTAAGTTATCTTTGTGACAAAATCTTACCTTTTCTCCTGCTTACCTTGTTAATGGTGGACTGGAATGTTTTGACTTTGGAGCCAGAAAGCTGAAGTCCAGAAGGAGCTTTTTCTGCAGAGGACCTTCCTCTTCATGACTCATTCTCCACTTCAGCCACCAAAACTTAAGCCTCTTTGCCTACAGGGTCACTTTAAGTCACGTACATGTTTCAGTGAAAGGCTGATTTTTTAGTTTTGCCAGATAATATGTTTCTGCAACTCATTTATTGATATGCCACAGAAATACAAAGGTGTTCCTGTTCTGGCTGAAGTTACACACGTTGTAAGATTTACCAGCTCATTCTAACATAAGAAGTGATGTGTTACCATTTTCATTCCTTGTGATCTAAATTGTTTTCTATTTTTCACTTCATATATATTAGCAGAGATAAAGTATGTTTTTTCTCATCTACATGTGTTTCAGAAGTAAGCTGGAATTGATCCCTTGGATTACAATTTAGTAATCGATGACCCTCCTTAAAGTCATCTCTGTTTCCTCCTAGTGCAAACTGGGAGAAATTCTGCTGCCCCACCAGCTTTTGTAAAATGGCAAAAGCAGCTGGAACCAATAGTCTTCTGAAGGCAATACTGTGTTTCGGATGTGCTTTTTATGCTGTCTGTTTTACAGGCTTTCACAGGTTAAGTTACAGTGAATGCAGAGAAGCAGGTTTTGTGAACCACTAGCAGATGTTCGCTGTTGCTAGCTTTATGAGTCTTGTCAACCAGCAGGAACAGACCATGTGCAAAACATTTTTCTTATGATTTTGCCATCTCTTACTGTTCTCACAGCACTGGCTCGGTAATGACATGATAAAGCTTGGGAGGTAAGCTTTGATTGCAGACTAGCTGCTGTCGGGACCTTCAGAAAGCCAGACCTGTAAAGCTCAGTTTGTTTTCAAAAGCCTGTGGCTAAGACGGATGGGTTAGCTGGAAATATGTCATTTATAATATAATCAAATGCTTGACCTCTTATTCAGGTATTAGTTGTTATGACATGGATGCTGAATGTTTAAACTGTCTCACAGTTTGTTTCATTCAGATGGAAGCTGTGATAGCTTTGTGTGAAATGCTAATTTCGGATGAAATTATCATACTAGCATGATTTATTTGATTTTTGTAACACCTTGTTGTACAGAGGAGGAAATTATCACAGAACAGCTTCATGTAAAAAGCAAGAGTATTAGAATCTGTAAGTTTTAAATATTTTCTTCAAATAATGCCTTATTTAAAACCTGTCCCAAGTTTGGTTGACACACTATCAATATGGAAATTTACTGTCCTCTCTTGAGCTAACAAGTCACTTGGTTGAAATGGTTTTGTAGCTAAATACATGCTGTGGGGAGAGAAAGAGATCTTTAATACAGAATCAGCCTTGCTCTGTGATCTGAACAGAAATGAATTATCATGGGCACAGACAGCACAGGGATGGAGCAAGGCTGAGTCCGTGACAGCACTAGCTTTACTTGGACTTAGTAATATATCTATCTACAGAGTCCACACCTCTTTCTTTCCTCCATCACTATTGCCAATGGATACGTAGCTTATAGGAGTTATCTGAGCATACATGTATTAAAGGTGATTGTAGGCAGGTGTGATAGGTTATTCTTTATACAGGAAAGCCAAAGCATGCAGCATGCAAAGCATTTGAAATACCAGAATTGAGAGTCTTTGCGCAATACTAATTCAGCCTTTTTGTGTGTTTGTATTAAAAGCTGTTATTAAAAAATGCAGATTTTATTTTTTTTTAAGAGCAAAGGTGGGGATTTTAAAATAAAATTAAAACTAAAGCAAACCCCATGAAAATTATATCATCCTGTAGGTAAAGCAGTAGTGGAAGGAATGAGTTGCACAGTCTTCCAGCAGAGATACCTGTTGCAGTCATGGAGCAGGCAAAAGAAAGAACTGAGGGTCCTAGTGCAGGCTAGGCAGGAGGATGTGATCTGCTGCACACAGGTTCTTCTGCCCTTTTCTCCCCATTGGCTTTCTCCCTTTCTCTCCTGATCTCATTTGCTTGCATAGTCCAGCAAGAGGGAGTAATTTGAGACAGATACCTAAAGGAGAGAAACTGGGACAAGAACATCTGGGAGAAGACTGAATGGAGAGAAAGGAAGTTGAGGAGGCAGAAAGACTTTGGTGTTTAAGATGTTGATGTCTGAACTATACGGCAAGTGACTGGCAAGATGCGGACAATACTAGGTAACTTTCAGAGGTGACACTACAAAAATCCATCAGTAACAAATGTTACTTCCTTCTCTACTACACAATCAGGAAACAAGCTTGAAAGAATAAAGTTCAAAAATCTGTTAGGTCATAGCTGATAAAATTTGACACCCTCTGTTGCATTATCTAATTCAGCTCATGCAAGTTTGCATTATGATGTGGCTTCCTCCACATTATGAAATTTAGTTCTAAAGCAAGTGATATTAGAACTCCTGAAAAACAATTTTAATAGTTCCACGTCCCAGAAATTTAATTTCTCCACTTTAAATGCTCTCTTTGCTAATTTATTATTTAATTTTACACATTTTAATTTATAGCATTTTTAATCCGTTCAGCAATTGCCATCTATGTAGGTTCTTAGAGGCCTTTTAACTATATACATGTTATTAACACACCTGCACCAGACACTTAATTGTAGCAAGGCTAATGTACACATCTCTTAACTCTTTCAGGACACGTCTGAAGTCAAATACATTGTTTGATTTTAGGAAGAAGTCAGTAAGTTCAGTAAGAACAGGCCCAGAGGGTATTGGTACTTACCATGACTAAAATTCATAGTTCTGCCTTCCATGGAAATGGCAGAAAAAATATCACAAATTAGTGGAAACCTTAATTATTTTTCAGTCTTTAAAGGGATTAAAACTGGAGACAACCCAGTTGTAATAGGGACAGTTTAGTTACATACTTTGTTGTCCTATCATACGTACGTCCCAAATAACAGTGCACAAAAACTTAACGTAGGTTGCTTGTGCTGAGTGCCCAGTACGTTTCGTCTATGACCTAATGCATTATACGCCTTACTGCTCACTACTGCTTTACTCCACTGGTGACACCTGAAGCTGCTCAGCTTCCGTTTATGAAGAAGTTCTCTTTTTTTTTCATACTACCACCACAATCTCACTTCACTTTTTCCTTTGAAAGGGACCTATCTCTGACATGGACTTGTTGCAGCAATAATGCTCTTAAACCCACAGATACCTTACTATTTCCAGAAGCTGATGTACAAGGATGGAGATTATGGGAAATTCCACATTAGCATTATTTCTGTTCTTGTTTTGGGTAAAATAATATCCCATTTCCATGAGCATAGCATAAATATAATGTTCTTACTACTACTTTGCATAACAAAACTGTAGTTCTGCCTTCCTAGAATGTAATCAGCAGTAAATATTCTTTACATTTCACAGATAAGGGCTTCAAGCAATGCCCTATTTATTCAGCTGAGAATAGCAGTTTTGTGAATGAATAATTTTTGATAGCATTTCCGTTCTCATGACATTAACTAGAGGAAGGACTGACTCCACAATGTGATGTACAACTTACTCTCTGAGTGATGTCACCATGCTTGCTTTACAGGTTGATGACCAAATGAAGTTGCTTCAGAACTGCTGGAGTGAACTCTTAATTCTAGATCACATTTACCGGCAAGTGGTACATGGGAAAGAAGGCTCCATCCTTCTTGTTACCGGGCAACAAGTGAGTATGTGGTCTCCGAGAAGTATTGATGGCTTTTCAGTAATCATTTTCAAAATAGCAGGAGTTTAACTAGGTCAGAAGCACTCCTGTGTTCTCAGAAATTCTCCACAAATAATGTAGATAAAATGACTTGTGCACTCTGTTCCTAGTCTGCTGATTACAGTTAAACTTATAAAAGCAGATATAATCATAAGCACTTTGCTTCTCAAATATATTTGTATACCTCAGTGATTGAGAAATAGCAGATGAGAAGTGTTTCTCAAGAAGTTGTACTTTGTTGGGGCTAAAATGGTTTCTGACAGCAACAACAACACTCCCAAACCTTATGTTTTAGATCTAAGCAATTATAGCTGATTTTCCAATCAGAACTGTGGTTTACTCAAAAGAAACAGTAGCTAGGTCAGAAACTTAGAGAACCTGCAACTACTACCTCAGAAATATCCTGCTTTTAGAGAAATATGCACATGTATGAGAAACTGGGCAGCTGAGACATCTAATCCCCGGAAATCTATTCAGTCCATGGGATACAGAGGCAGGTATTGTCTCAGGAGTGGTCCTAGGTATGCAGCCTACAGTTTCTGTACAGCTTTCCAACGCTTAATTTTCTTCAGGTGTCAGATGCATAGATCTCCTAAAATACAAGAGCACTAATGTGGCAAATCCTAGGAAAACTGTGAGAAACCCCAAAGGAAACAGTTTTGTCTCCCTCATACTTCCCAAAGCACAAAGAACAGGTCAGTAAAATAAGAACCTTATTCCTGATTCTTAATAACTGAAAAAAATCCCACAGTATCAAAGAGAAGTAAAGTGTGCCTGTACATTATGTTCCTGATTCAAAGTGAAAACACACAATGGCCCATGGGTACTTAAGTAGCTGCAAATTGAACCTGCCTCCATTTATACAGACATGGGAAGGAACTCCTTTTAATAAGATACTGTCGTGGTTTAAGCCCAGTTGGTAATTCAGTACCACATTGCAGTTCTCTCACTGCCCCCCTCCCCTTCCTCCCCCCGCTCCTGGAGGGATGGGGAGGAGAATAGAAAGAATGTAACGCCCACGGGTTGAGATAAGAACAGTCCAGTAACTAAGGTATAACACAAACCACTACTGCTACCACCAATAATAATAATGATAAGGGAAATAACAAGGGAAGAGAATACAACCGCTCACCACACGCCAACTGACACCCAGCCCGACTGAGCAGGGATCTAGCCCTTCCAGGTAACTGCCCCCAGTTCTACATCCTGGGCATGACGTGCTGTGGTATGGAATAGCTCTTTGGCTAGTTTGGGTCAGGTGTCCTGTCTCTGCTTCCTCCCGGCTTCCCCTCCTCTCTGGCAGAGCATGAGACTCAGAAAGTCCTTGGTCACACTAAACATTACTTAGCAACAACTAAAAACATCAGTGTTATCAGCGCTGTTCCCAGGCTGAAAGTCAAACACAGCACTGCACCAGCTACTAAGTAGGAGAAAAATGACTGCTACTGCTGAACCCAGGACACATACATAATTTGTGTCTGCCTCTTGAGGAATCTGCTTACAGCTTTAGTTATAATTTTAAAACTGAAGCTATTTCTTCACACTAAGAACAAGTGTTTATAAGAATGAGAAGCAGAAATAACTGTTTGCATTTATGTTTAAAAGGTGTACAGTAGAAGGGAGAAATGATTGACTTGTCTAAGAAAGGGAGTGGGAAAATTGAAATTCTAGCTATAGAACTTACTCCTGCATCTTTGTGGAAAGTCACTAACCTATCTGAGATAAAGTTTTATTGCCTAATTATATGAGGAAAAACTAATTGCATTACTCTTCATTTATATTTCTGCTATTTAGAAAAAGACTGATCCCCTTTTCATTTCATCATTTCCAAAACATGGATGATTCTGGCAATTATTTTATATGCCACACAGGGCGCTTGCTTATTCCTTTGTTTATAAAGCTAAGTAAGTACACTAACAATTTTGTGTTCCTGAGAGAACTGCTAAATTAGTGTCTCATTTGTTATGTGATTAGCTAGTTTTTAAAGGTACTGAGCACCTAAGGCCCACTGAAATCATTAGAGACATCTAAATACCCTTAAATTCTAGCCATTGTCCCTGTTTTTCCACAATAATAATTCTTACCTCATTAGCCACTTTTATCTTTTCTTGCAAAAAAAACACAGCTGTACATGATCTCAAGGAAAAGCAGAGCATTCCATCACTGTTGGACAACAGGTAGCAGGATGCTTATTAAATGTACTGCTTGCAAATCATGAGCTGGTTTTGGACGCTATGTATTTCCAGGCAGAATTAAAGTCTCTGACTACATTAAAACCTGTCTAAATTGGACTGATTGCATCCATTTTTGCCCCAGATTTGTCATATCCTCCTTTCAATCCAGTTTCACCTTCCTGTGCCAAAGTCTGTAATTTTGAAGTCAATGCAAGCACCCCTGAGAATCTCCCATCATCTGTACACCTGTGCACTTTGGCTGCTTGGAGGCCAAGGAGCCATATTATAAGAACAGCAAACAAGAACACTATAGTTAGTCCCTCTCCTTATGGATGGACTTCTTCCCATTTCCCACTTAACAAAGGCTGGAGTTTTCTTCTCAACTTATATCCAGTGCTGGGCACTGTTCTCCTTGAGCCCTGCTGCAAAGCACAGTCTCTCTGATATCTTGCTAGTAAAGACTGAGGCAAAGGCGGCACTAAATACCTCACACTGGTCTGTGTTTGCTGCCACTAAACCAGCTGAATCCAGCAGCAGTCCCATGTTTTTCTTGTTTGTCTCCAAAACAACAATTTAACAACTCTTGCAAGTCTGAACTCTAGATGAAGACTGCTTTTTTTAACACCATTCCTACAGGCCTGGACAGTGTCTCTACAGTTACTTGTTCTCAGTCATTCCTGGCTTCAGCTGCCGTATACTGCATTTTTGTACTGTAGCTCAGTCATGAATTACTTGTTTAGCCAAGCTGACCCCATACAACTGCTTCTTTTCCTGAGTGTCAAGATGGACCACCTTGGCAGCATCAGCTCAGCCTGTTGTCATTCTAAGACACAACATCAGTTCAGGTGCATTTATGAAAGGAAAATTATGACTGTCTTCTCTGCATTAACTGTAAAATAATTCTGGAAAGCCACACTTCTAGATCCAGACCCTGCAAAGAGTCTTTGCTGTTGCACTAAATGCTGCATATTTTCTGGCTGCTGCCCTGATCCTCTCAGTTCCTCCAGCAGAGAAGGGAAATAACCATGCCAAGTGTCATAAAAATCAATTGATTAAGGTGTGGAAAGCACTGTGACACTTCTGATGAAAAGGGCTGTAGATGGTTTTATTTACTCTTACCAGTAAAGCACTATGAGCAAAATTACAGTCAATCGTCTGGCTTTCAAAGATATTAACTCTGAACTGAGCACCTAAGCTAGATAGCCTACTTTATTACCTGAGAGATTATGATTATTGTCACAAGTTAGCAAATTTAAGACCTCAGAAGCCTCACTCTGTGTTTCCCTTAATATATCCCTCCATAAAAGCTACTCATAACATAGTCTTTTTTGCAGCCACAATCAAGGGGGAAGCTATATGTCGCAATCTTACCACCACTTAATTAGAACATACCTGTTTTCTCCACTTTGGCTGCACAGCCTCTGTGCCTCAGAGACAAGAGTCAAACTTCATCCAGCTCCCCAGGGCCATACCACTGTCAGTTCCATACTGACACACTAAAATGGGCAGTGGTCAGAAGTACACTTGATAATTTTCAAACACACTGTCTCAAAACCCGTTACCTGTAGGCATTCCTAGCACATTTCCATACTTCTGCATTTCCCTCGAGCCACTGGCTTATGAGATTTAACTAGTGTCAATCCACTGTTCCCACTTTGATGGGGAAAAAGTGCAGTCAGCAACAAAGTAGTAAGTATTGGCCCTTGCACAAAAAAAAAAGGACTGTTTTATTTTATTTTGTTATTTATTTAGTTGGAGTTTCATAAATGAAGCTCTTCTGTGTGTATGTGTTTCAAGAAAGCACTGTTTTTTAGATAATTACAATTCCTCAGCAATTCCTCAGAAACAAGTTCTTCCCAACGCTGCACACTTTTTCTGCACTAAGTACTGCCCTTCAGCAGTAGCAATTACCATTTAAAAAGGAAATAAAGTAGCACAAATGCATTTTACAACACTCCAAATTTCATAATAGAAAACAGCTAAGAAGTGATTTGCAGTGTGATGGTTAATTGTAAATCATTGCGAATATGCTCTCCACATGCCAAGTTTTGTAGGCTTGCCACGTGGCATGTAATTTTAACATCCCATTTCTAATTATAGAACTTTAATTCCTCCAACTTGAGCACTTTCCTTTTGTATCTTCTACAGCAGCAATGCAAGCTTCCAAGCTTCCAAGCCAGCTTCCAAGATCCAGCACACACAGCATAGATATTAAAGCGCTGTACAGAATATGATTGTTCATGCAGCAGTCAACACACAACACATGAATTGTAGCCTTGGCTGCCCAGACACAAGCTGCTCATTTTGTTCATGCCGACACCTTTCTCATTGTTGCCAGTCTTCCCTCTGCTAAGTTTAGTCAAAGCCTTTCGGATTAAAAAAAGCTGCTCAAAAACGTGCCTAAGTCTCAGATTTGTTTGAGATTGTTGAAACTACTGATTTAAAGTCATCACACATATACCTTTCCACCTGGATTTGTATTCTAAAGCATAGCACAAAAGAAGAGCATGAGAGATAAACAAGATCTTGACAATATTGTGTTTTGAAGCATATCAAAATTTAACTTCAATTTAGATCAGAACTTTGTGGCTTGAACCTCTCCCATAGGTGGGATAATTTGTAGATCTTTCAGCTGTTCCTTATTGAAAGGTGGTGATATGTGGCCTGGGGAATTTTATGTAATTTCAATGTAATCTATGTTAGACTTACCCATTTGTAAAGAAGGCTTCTAGTACCCTGATGTAGGTGTATTTGCCTTTGGAGAATCTGTTTGCCCAGGGAACAGACTTGCAAGTTCAAGGAAGGATCACCTTGACACTGAAAAGGTTCTCAAGAGGCAGCAGAACTTCCAAACTGTGGGTCACAGATGACTGTATCACAAAGAAAGATCATCCTTGCAGAAGAATCACCGCAGAAAGTTATGAGTATTAGTCAAAGGAATGTCTCTGAATGACAAGAGAAAGGAGCTGGAAAACAACAGATAAGGAAACAGTGTGTTGGTCATCCTAAGAAATGATTAAAAATACATACAGTATTCATAAGTAGGGAAAGAAAATGGATAGCTAATGGAATGATGTTTTGGCATGTGGGGGCCAGATCTAGAAGTCCTTACATATGGAAAGGGAGGATTTGATTCAAGGTGGATACAAACGAGGTCAAGCAATCATCATTCTGCTGTTGAGCAGTTCTCTTGTATCCAGGTTTGCACAGTTCCTCACTCCAGTGGTTTCTGTCTGAAGGACAAGAAAACAAAGTTATGCTAAGTTGTTAAAAATGCCTCATGCCTTCTGAAGACATTATGCTAGCTGCTTTTGGGAGCTGAACTAGATGTTTGAAATTAAACTAGGCAAAACACATCAAAATCCAGTTATTAATCATGAAGTGCCATATTCAGGTTTGTTCAAATATTAAACATTTTGAGCTATGGACATACCTGTGAACAAACATATCCTAATTTACATTTACTTTGCTTTTTTGCCACAAAAACGGCTTCAAGTAGAAAATTCCCATTCCAGTAATAAGTCATGGAGAGGGCACCCAACATGAATCCTTGCACACCAGAACTGCTCTGTTTCCCACATGGTAATTCTGTTGTGTTCATAGAAAACACATTTCTTTTGTATTCTGTACACATTGCTCCCATAAAGAGACCACAAGCTATTTGCCTAGGGTCTGGAAGCATTTCTTCAGGGCTGGTAGTCCTCCACACAAGTGAACTAATTTCTCCATATAAATTCATGTCAAGTCCCATATTTGATTTTAAGCTTGCTCATATAAAAGACAAGCTGTTCAGAGACCAAACTCAAAGCAGAAAGCACTACATCAGTCTGACCCAACTACCTCTTGGAGTAGTGATACTGATGGGATTCAAAGTGAACACATCTGGTCTTCCACTGATAGGAAAGGATTTATAGTAGTAAAGTAGAAATTTGTATAAGAGGCTAAGAAGGGAACATGAACCTACATGGTCAAAAGCTCCTTAATGAATAGTCTGAGTCAGCATAACCCTTGTGATGTTACCTAAACATTCACAAAAAATCTCCAGTAAAGGTTTATCTTCCAATGCAGTTTATGGATATTCAAACTCAGCAGTGATTCCATATCATCTTGTTTCTACATTAAAAAAAAGTGCATCGCACTTTGCTATAGAAATGTATTCACATACCATGTACTCTAGGTTAGTTATATTCTGCAAATTACTTTAATGTCTTTGTGATAATAATTTGAAGAACCCAACAGGCACCATTACTAGAGTGGAAAACTTGAGGGTACTGATTAAAATAGCCATCTGCATAAAACTTAACTATACTTTTATTACTATAGGCTTTATAACATAAATATATCTACTACAAATGAATCTATATATGATCAACTACAGGGCATAGAATATTTCCAGTCTTGGTGTACTAATTTCTCTGAAACTAAGTTAGACAAAGTAAATGTAGTGCTTTGGAGTGTTACTATTTGCATATTATAGTTAATTAGCAAGCACAATAACATCATCCTAGGGGAAAGGTCCATTGGCAACTTAATTCATTATCTTCTATTATTGTGTACCTGTTAAAATGACAAGCATCTTAAGCTGTATAAGTCATCACAATTTTAATTAATGTACCCAAACCTTCTACAAGCATACCTGATGGTTTTGTCCATTCTAAGTCCTCCTCAACTTTTGTACCTAGGCATCTCCTCAAAGTGTTTCTCCATTTCTTTTACTTAGAGACATAACACAAATACTGCTTTAAATGTTTTTAATGGAAGTATTAATTATATGAAAAGATCAAAATAAGTTTAATAACCACCATAGTTGCCACTGAAATATATATTTCAGGAAACAGTGGAAAAGTAAATATTTTTGTGATAGTAAATATATAGTATGCTAAATGCATCCTTCTGAGAGAAAAGCTCATTCACCCACATAACCATATACTAGAGGCAAGTCACAAGCTCTCGGCAGGGTCAGGACTTCAAAACCCAGGGCAGGCCATTGTGGACCACTCTACAGGCTTTCAGTGCAATTAGTAACTGAGGAAGGAGCAGTGAGGGTGCAGCTGGCCAGGGTTGCATAGGGCAGAGCAGGAAGGAGCCGGATGGTCCGTTTGCTCCACCTAGGCACCCACTGCCTTCTTCATGTTTGTGCCCTAAAAATACAGTGATCTAATTTACTAAATTAAATATTAAATCAATCTTTCACTAACTTGAACTACCTTAGTCTGCTAGAACATTTGTTCATTATACAGCTACTGTATACAGCCACAGCAGAGACTTTATTCCTTACTTGCACAATTCCTGTACTGGCTGAAAGGAATGACATTCAGTAACAGCCAGTACCTCCTAACAGACATCAACAAGTAAAATCACTCTAATCCTATATTCTGGAGATTGTTTCAGGCTTGCTGAAGTATTGAAAAGGGATGGGACAGTTCCACACATTTCCACATGCCATATGACCCACTGTCATATCCTAGAAATCAAACACAATTTAATTTAGAAGAAGAAAGGAACCTGATTCCACCGTTAAATGTTAGGCTCTGTTTTGTGGGCAGAGAGAGGAGCCAATATCAGAGGCAACCACCTGACTCCACCAGAAAGTTTCCATTTGAGCCCAGTGAAACCAGGGATTTGGCTTCAAGAATCATTCATTACCATGACAAATCATTTGCAAAGCAAAAAAACACAAGTGCTCACTGCATTTCTGGCCTTCAGCCTCAGCATTTACTTAGCCCAGGGTATATTGTTAAAAAAGTTTATCTGTTGTTCTGCCTTGAACAGTATCTCACCGTGTTAAATGAAACCTTCATGTGAGAAAAAAAACTGCAGAATTAGTCACTTCCAGTTCTCCTACCTCTCTGTTTATCAGTTGAGAAATTCTTTGGCGTCTGAATACCTAAATGCTGCTGAAGTCCAAGTACTTTACCATGATATATTGTTTTAAAGTAGTATTTTCATAAACATTCAGCACTGCCCTAACTTGCTTTCACTGACATTAAAGGGATTTAGGCTTTTAAGTCACTCTCAACTGCATCAGGAAAAGGATTTAGAAAAAATACGCAGCATTGCCATGTCTTTCTGCAGTCACAATTTAAGTTACAACCCTCTTACTAATACTACTATCTTCTTTATTTCTCTTCCTCGCTGCTAGTGCCTCTGTACTGCCCTGCCCTCTCACAGAGCCTGCAGCCTCATCCGCCCAGCCTGTACCTCTGCAGGACAGCAAGCAGGGGAGGCCCGCAGCAAACTAGGTGGCAACTGTAAGAGGTAGCCTTGAGAATTGCTGAAGAGAGAGGCATGACATGAATGCTGCCTGTCCAGGGGACTTTTGTGTAGCTTTCTATTTGGGGTTCCCAGCTGGAAGTTCCCTCCTAGAGTTAAACACCAATCAAATCCTTCCTCTCCAAACCAAGCCAAAGGTCCCCCTCTTTCTGCCCAATACTCGTGATCAAAAGGTATCTATAAGATGCAAATGATTTATGTGAAGAAACTTGGTGTTTCTCACTTTCAGAAAGATATCAAATTGCTATGCTATAGCCTTATTTATTTGACCCTAGATTTCCCATACCTCAGTGGTCCCAGCCACAGGCCTGCTGAAGAAATCCTGCCTTGGGCATTTTTGCTGCCTTAGGTAGATGAAAGCCACATAGCCCATAAATCTAAGAATTGCTGTATCATGATCTGGGGACACAGTTATTTACCTCTTTCATGATTTGGGTAGTCCCGGACATGTCTAGAGGCATTTAGTTTGGCACCTAAAGGCTGTTAGAAGGTGGAGCTGTGAGGACTTTAAACACCAAATTAGGTGGCAGCAGAGCAGAGGTTTTGAGGAGCTAATTTTAGATGTAGGCACTTCAGCTAGTGAATAGTATACTACAGCACAGCCTGCACTATAGCCTTTACAGCAATAGCTGTACTAACCTTAAACATGCCAGTTTAAGCACAATAATGGTGAGAATATGCAGCAGTGTAAATTTTTCAGTGTTGTTCTGTCTGCATTGCTTTGGTACCAAGCTAATCCAATTAAGAGTCTATCATTACTTCATAATTACTATATTCATTATGTGAGATAGCACTGTGTACTGGTACACGAGGAATTCGCACTTCCATTTGTCTGTGCATCCGTAACTTTATGCCTGGCATTTTACTTCCAAATTAGGTTATGTGGAAGCTTCACCAAAGCTTCTGATTTCAAAATGCCAGTCAACATACCATCTTCAACATCAGAAACAACTGTGAAATGTAATACTTTTTATGGAAAGCAAGACTAATTTATTTCAGTTGTGGATTTGATTTAATCAAATCAAATTATTGGTACAATATAAAGTAAATGCTAAGACTTCAGTGTGCAATTAAGCATTTTGCTCAAGATTCAGACTGTTTTAATCTTTGTCCTTGAAAAGTATTTTTAGTCACGAATTAGAGGGTAAAAAAAGTCATACACCTTTTAGTATCAATTTCTGCATAGAGAACCAAGCAAGCAGGAGAGCATACTCTTTAATGTGACCATTTTTCAGAATATACACTAACTGATGCTTTTTCATGCACAGTTGATTTAGTATAAACTGATTGACACCTTTGGGGGTCATCTTTCCACTGACTTACAAATTTGCTCACTCTTGAAAAAAGCCTCCTGCACACCCAGTATTCTCTAGTTAAAGCTGAAAATTCAACTCATCATATTTACACAATAAAAAAAAAAATCCATTCTGCGTCGGTTTTAATTGCAAATCCTACCCAAGGGACCAATCCTCCTGCTTAGGAGGCAGCCCCGTGCCTTCTCCTAGAGAACCAACTGCAGTCAATTATGGTAATGAAATGTCAATAAATATAAAACTTTAATACAGGCTGCTCTTGGTGAGTGGCAGATGAGGACTTGCCTCCCAGACAAATTTGCTGGTGCTGCAAATATTAAATGCACCTGAAAGAGTAGCAGGTTGCCTGAGAGCTCTCCAGTAGAGGGATGGTGGGAGATCCAGGCATCTACTGGGTTTTACCATTATGGCATAATCACTGCACTAAAGCCACTGATATTCCTGACATCCAGACATCTTAACTTCTTATTATGAAGTGAGTAGCATATTTCCCCCACAAGACAGAATCTCAGTGAGGGATTTTGAGATTTCCCACCCCACTCTTAGCAATTACAAAAGGGAAATTAAGTTGTGAAAGCTGCTATTTTTATGTGACCAGTTTCTTAACATGAATTCGTTGAATCAGTCACTATATTACACTGTT